CTCGCACGCCCATGCCAGACGCCGTGCAATGTGGTTTTATTCATCCGGACAAGTAGTTGTTTCGTCTGGCTGACGTCTGGCCGTCTGTCGTTGACTAAGCTTGCTTTCCGGTCTCGTATAACCCTGACTACTCATGCACAAGTAAAGGTTACACTATTACTGTTCAACGGTGACATAGCATTGGCACTGGTCTGACGATTCCGAGTTTATTTTTAACATGGAGAATTAAAAATGAATTTTCGTAGCGATCATTTATTTCTATCTATGGAAAAAATACCAGGATACTGGTTTGCTAGATCCTGTCGAGTAATGCAGCAACATCGGTTGGGATACGAATAGCCAATAGGTTTCGTAGGCGATGTATCTAATTGCTAAAATCAACTCAAAGAAGGGTGACATTGTGGGAAGCGTGAGTCATCATAGAACCTTAATTTTACTTAAATCGTGTGTGTTGACCGTTGGAGAAATTACATGATTCTCTGCGATAGGCTGTATAGCGGGAACATTAGTTGGCCAGTATAAAGCCAGTTCACTACTACATGCCTCCCTACATTTATTGCATCATCAACCTATGTTACATTGCAGTGCAGTTTACGTGAATCCATATGTTTGTCATGGAAGGAATATATGCGCCATATACGTATTGTACGGAATGTGCCACCACGTATGCAGCACATGGAATATGTATGTAATAATACATGAAGCTTCATCATTATTTGTACCCTCCGGTACTGGCGTTGAACTTGCCGGACCGCTAAACAACCTTCTCATCCGGCCGGTAAAAGCTTGGATTTCAGTGCTCACTTCGCGACCGCTCGGTCTGGCATTGGTGCTTGTTGTTTTAAGAAACAAGCCGATGTGCTTTGCTGAATTTAGCCGACACTTTTCGGTGCTTGTGAGAACAAAATTGCGCAGGACTGCCTCTCGAATAGAGTACACAAGGTTTTAAGAGGTGTCAGCTGCCCCGCTGCGCCGAGGCTGGTCTCGGAAGCACAACATATCTGACCCATGCGGCGGCCGTTACTCATACGGAACCATACATGCACACATAACGCACACGCACACACACGTACGCACACGCACACACACACACACCAACGGTCTCCCAATTAGTCATACGTCACCAATTACGTTTACTTGATCCTTCTGCTTAGTCGAGCCGCAGCATGCTCGTTTGCTGCGGGCTTTCCTGGTTAGTCTTACAGTTACAGTTTACAGTTACAAGTTTTAGCCTTACAGAAAGAATCACAGTTGTAATATTCTTCCGCTGAATCGCTAAGTTTTAATTTTTCTTTACCTTTACTATTTGTTTCGTAGATAACAAAGACGTAGTCTCTTTTCGCGATTCAAAGTAACTAAATACGCTTTTACGCATGGGCATCTCGCCAGAGATGCAGATTATGAGAGAGACTTGATCAGTGCTAAAAACGCGCGTGTGCGTGTAGCACGTATCGGAATCACACATATAATACAAAATTCGAATTGAAAACATCATAAATAGAAGAAATCGATGTGATTAAACGGCGCTTACAACCAAATAGCGCGCCTGTATATATATATATATATATA